TTACACGGTTTCCGAGGTTTCCGGCCCCCTTCGATAATAGGAGACGAGTGCAGATAACGAAAATCTCTTCGCATTGGCTAAATGCCCACGCACTTCGCTCCCCCCTACGTACGTCTCCAAATGAAAGACACAGAGTATAGCCGTTTTTCAACAATTTTAAGAGGACAGCTTTGCTCGCCAAAGTCAGTTGTTTCTTTTGTTACAACTCTTTTCGGCTTAGCAAGATCACTTAGTTTGTTTTCTTCTTAATTTTTGTTTTTTTTATTAATTACAGGTTTTTCATTACTGTTTCTAAAATCTATTATTTAAAATTTAAATGTTATCTTTAAGCTAGCAGGCCCACCCGTATGTTTTTGTATTTTAGGCTAATAGCTCATCGCTATTTTTTTCGTTTTTGATTTTAATTTTAATTTTAGTCTAGATTAGGAAGTTTTGGTTTGATTAGCATATTTTAACACCTTAATGTCATCTGTGCGGACGCGTCGGGAAATTGGAACAGAGAATTGAGACTATTAAATTTCCCCCTTTGTCTAAATTTTAAAAAATGTTTAGCGAAAAAGTTAATTGTCTGTTTCGGCGAAACGCGTAATGGGTTAGCTTGATTCGACGTTCAAAAATGAATTTCCCTTAAAGCCTGTTGGAAGTCGAATTGGGCTAATTTACCATTGCGCTTACTTTTTAATTTTGTTTTTTAATATTTTTTAATGTTTTACATGTCTAATGATTTGATTTTCATGTGTATTAATTTTTTTGAAAACGTGTTGAACCTTCTGGAGCAGCAGCTCTTGTTAACTTTTAGGCGAGCTTACTACAATTTTTATATTTTACTTATTTTGCAGCATATTGCGCAAGATGTTTTCTAGACCAAAATTGGTTTTTTTAAAAATTGTCATTACCTGCTTGCTTGATAAATTATATATATATATATATAATATAAATTTAAGAAGCTAGGTATTAAGTACTGTGCAGTAAGACCTATTGGTCTTAAAAATATTTTTGCACGATATGCTTCAAAATTAAGGAAATAAGAAGAAGAAAAATGGTAGTGAGCTTGCCAAAAAGTTACCAGGAGCTATGGCTCCAAGAACAACATAGTTCAACACAGTATTTTTTAAAAAAAAACAATGACATTTTAAAAAGTGAAAAATTAGGCTACACACGCGAAATAAAATAGAAAACACAGTAAAAATTAATCGTTGGAAACAGGTTAATGGCAAAAAATACAGTAAACCTCGATGATTGGTGATAAACAAATAAAAACATATGAAAAAAAAAATTATAAAAAAAAATGGTAAATAAATTAGCTCAATTCGATTCCAACCTGGCTTTTCAAGGAAAATTTCAGTTGTTAAACGTCGAGAACCAAGCTAACTCCATTACGCGTTTCGCCGAAACAAACAATTGAAACTTTTGTTACGAAAATTTTTATAATTAGATGAATTGTCCTAAAAATTTTTTTTAGAGTCTCAATTCTCTGTTTCAATTTCCCGACGCGTCCGCACAAAAATGTCACATTAAGTGTAGTGTAAAAAATGTAAATGCAACTCCGATGTACAGCAATAATTAAAATAAAATAAACAGCGGTTTGCTATTAGTCAAACTATACAATAACGTACGGACTGGACCTGCTAGCTTAAAGAATTAAACCTTTATAAATTTTATAGATCTGAAATAAAATTTAAATGAAAACAAAAGCAGTTGGTCTTGCTAAGACCAAAACATTTTTTTTAAAAAAAAGAAACATAAAAAACAGACCTGTGGCTATGCAGTCCTCTTGATCGTGAAGCAAAGTTGAAAAGAGGTTGTAATTCCCCTCTGTATCCTTCAACGTCATCCCTCTCGTCGTGTGACGTAAGGCGGGGGAAACAATGTTACTGCGATTAGATTGCCAATGCGATTAGATTGTCCGTTGGCGGGAACTCGTCCCCCCAGAGCTAGAAAGGGTTGAAAGACTCGAAAAGACGTGGAAAGAATTCAAAATGGCGTCAGTCAGTCAAGTTGTTTGAATAAAACTGTTTCTAAATGTGAAAATGGCTATTCAGCTAAAATTACTCAACATGGCCACAAAAGTAAGAATAAAAAAAAAAAAAAAAAAAAAAAAAAAAAAAAAAAAAAAAAAAAAAAAAAAAAAAACAAAAAAAAAAAAAAAAAAAAAAAAACGATCAAGCTAAAAACAAAAGGCCCGTAAAAGTAGAATTGGCCATCAAAGTAATTTAAAACTATTTAAACAATAGTATTAAAAGTATTGTGCCAAAATTTTTTGGAGGAAAGAAAACGTAGTGACAAGAATTATCTGTACATTTTTATATTAGATTCTCTGAATCAGCCATCCACTTTATACCGTCCCATTGGATTTTAAGTATAAAATTTCACTATCTAACTCAAAAAATCTAAATATTGGTAAGGCTAATGCCAGCTTTTTTTAAGGTATTTTTAATTATTTTAAGAGGAATTAGGTTATTTTTCAAAATTGTCACGAAGTATAGTATTTCTTCATGAAGGTGTTTTGTGGTATTGCATATTCTTTTTATTCTAAGTAGCTGTGAATAAATTGTGTGGTTTAGGATGACTCTTTGGAAATATTTGAATTCCAGTTGGTTAATTTTAGTGTAGAAAAATTGAATTCTCTTCTTTTGTCGTAAACTTTTATAAAATTGTAATCAATAATATGTAAGTCAAGGTAGACTACAATGTTGCACCGTATTTGTGTTATTTAGTTTCAAGCATGTAGGGTAGATATTAGCAACTTCTATTTTGTTGTAGTTGTTAAAGGCTATGACATCATCAACATAACGATAGATGTGTTGGTAAAATTTATGTTCTTCTTTACTGAGTGAACGGACAAAGGTCAATTCTTTTGTAAAAAGGAATAATTCACAGACAGTACTTGAAAAATTACCTCCCATTGGAATTCCTTGTATTTGTTTAAAGATGGTATTGTTAAATTGAATAAAATTATTGAAAAGCACGCTTGAGAGAATATATATATATACAAATCGCAGAGTTACGTCAGGTTCCACAGGTACGCATGTGCGCGCTTACGCATTCGAATCTGAATATTTGCGACTCTGAATATATATAATTCATCGGTGGCATAATTAGTACTTTTGTTTAATACGTTTCATAAAAATTGGTATAATCTGCAAATTATCTTAATTTTGCTTTAGCAATTTTGCATGTATATAGCAGTTCTATGGGCCAAGCTGGTATATTCAAATGTTTTAGCATTTTGAAAGAAAACATTAGGAACTTTTTTTTAAAGTTTCATAAGCCGCTTATATATACAGTATATCTTTTGGGAAAGATTTACGATCTCCGTGGTTTTTTTTTTAATTTTATATATATATATATATATTGCATTGTTGGTTGTCAACCTCCAGTCGGACCCTTGACCATTACAGACACCCTTTAAAATTTCATCGACGCCCAGGGGGTCGTGACCGACCTCGTTGGGAACCTCTGGTTTAGGCCATAACGTCAAACACAATGAGCATTAAATGAAAGCATGTAAAGGTACTAGGAAAAAAAAGTAAGGCTTGAATAGTTTTTTTTCTTTTTCTTGTTAAATGTAAATACTTAAATGTTAAATAATTCATATTACGGATTTTTCAAAAATCTTGTTCTCACTGTAAAAGGAAACTTGCTCAAATACAAAAGATAAATAATAATAATAATAATAAAAAAAAGATTATCCCATTAGCTTTTTTTTGAAGTGCCATGTTTTCTGCTTGAAATGGTTTCGAACAAATTTCTAAGAGTTTCTTTAACTCGATGCTTCAGAAGATTAACGTTTGTAATAAAGGAGAATGGTCTAAACGATTAGTGTGACTCACGTGTAAGAATCAATTTCAGACTCGTATAGTTACAAAAAGAAGTACACATTAGGGTACCAATTTTTGAACAAAAACACTTTTTTCTTCCTTAATAGTATATAAACGTTTTATATAAAAACTCTTAAAAACTCCATTTGATGATTAGGTGTCTTTGCCTTTAAACTAAGCTAGTAAGTTCCCGATTCTCTAACAGATCCAATAAGGGAACGCATGGAACTCGTTACGGTAAGAATGAAATGGGAATGAGAATGGGAGAATTAAAAATTCGGAAATAAATATAACTTTAAAGTTGTATATACATTTTGTGACTTGTAGATAAGATTAACACACGATTAAATAATAAATAAATAACATTAAATAAAGTTTAAGCGGAGGCAATCAATTATTTAATTGTTTTATTTTACAACATAATTATACAACTAGTATAAACAGTTGTGCACAAGTTAAAAAAATAAATCAAGAAATTAGTAAAAACCTTCACTGTACTGAATGTTTGTTAAAAAAAAACATTGTTAAACATTAACATATAATAAATATATATATATAATATATACACAGTAAATTTTACTCAATATAATCTTCGGAGCAGAAATCTCGCCTTTTCTTTAACTAAAAGATGATAACAAACAATATGTAAACAAACAACAACAACAATAACAATAACAAACAATATGTAAACAAACAATAAACATAAAAGATGATAACAAACAATCTGTGAGCCAGTTTCCCTTAGAAAGTCCTCCACGAAGGCACCCCTCCCCTTAGGCAGATAGCCCTAGTGAGCTTTGCCATAATTAAACACACCACACACCAAACAATCTGTGCTAATTAAGATGTGCTAATATTAATACAATATGTGCTAATCAACAAAAAATCACTTTTCCCGCAGATAGAGAAAAATTCTTTCTTGCTTTCGTGCTGCAGTAGAAAAGAAGAGAAAACAATTATTCCTTTTGCGTCCACGGCACAGACACTTTTTCTCATGTAAAACAGAAGTCTCTAGAAATTGTATTTGACTTTAGATCACTCTAGAATGTAATACTAGAAAATGAATTTATGTAACCTTAGCTACGGATGTTTGTAATTTTGAACATGTGACGTGGCAAATTTATTTTATGGCTATATTCTGATTTTAAACGTTTAATATTCTTTTACTCATATGTGAAGGGGGAAAGAAGATACCTGATATTCTTCAATACGTAAAATTAAACGTCGCCGCAAATGACCAGTGCTCATTTTTGTTCCCACGTTTATCTGAAAATCAATTATGTGCTGGAAGGAGACTTTCTGGAATTTGCTACGTAAGTGATCATTTTATCTTTATTTTTTACAATAGTGGTTCAACTTAAGAGGAAACCTGAGTGTTTATACTATTTTTGTTGAGTTCCATTTCATTACTGGCTTATATTTATAACCTGACATTGATTTTAAATAGATATTATTTCATTTTAAGCACTATTGCTTTGTACTTTAAAAGAAACGTAAAATTAAATACTTAATTTTTATTTAAAAATATGAAAATTTTTAGCACTATGAATATTTATACTGTGTTCACGGAGTTTTAGTTCTTTATTATTTAATACATCAAAGCTGTATTTCATTTACGCAGAGAACATATTAAAGTAATATAAATTAAATACATAAATTCGACTTAAAACATAAAGTTAAAATGGAAAATTTTTGCACATTTTACGCATATTGCCTTATTAGAGGTATATCTCACGTGTGTAAATTTCATGCATTGATTCCATCAAATGTGCACAGAATTCGATCCGATTAACGAACTATAAATTTTAATGTATAGAAATAAGAATACAACGCAGAAAAGCTCCGATTTCTTTCATTACTTTACGTATGCTGCTTTTAACGTGCTATAAATTGAATTCTAGTTCAGGTCTTAAAATTTATTAGCAACAATATTGGCCAGAGACAAATCTTGACATGTTTCTGAAGCAATCCCGTGCAATATTATTAAGATAGATTAAGTGGTTTGTTTGGTTTTGCACCTATGTAAAATACGAAAAAAAAACTCTCTTTTTTTGTTTGGTGTATGTGTGTGGAAAAAGGATGTGAACATTTCTGAAATTAATCAACGTTCGCAAAGAGTATTCTGTTCCCAAATTTGGAAAAAAAGACACTTTGACGGTGTGTTCGATTTGAGAGTTTAAATAGCTGTATTGAGAAGATACTGAAAACGTTCATCCAGAACGGCTTAAAAATAGAGTTTTTCGTTAAGATTATTTTATTCAATTAAATGGGATTTATGTCGAAAAACTGCATTGCAATATTGTTGAAATTTGACGAAATAAAAAAAAATTATTTATATTTTTTTATTTCTAAATTTTCTCCCTCATACTATAAATTTTCAGTAAATCTCGCTGACTATCATATATAACATTCTTTGTTGTTATTTTATAAATGGTATCTTATACTTGAATACAATCAGTTAAAAACATTTGATAGCCAAACGTTTTCATTAAAAACAAGCTGAAGTCCAAATGAAAGCTACAAAATTGTTTCATTTCAAAATGTTTGAAAAAATACGCATAGTATCATATTTGAGAAATGTTTTAAAAAGTAAAAAATGCATACATTTTATTTTGAATCAGTTTTCTCATTTACTTTAAATGCGAGTTAGGAACGTTTGAAAACATATTTGCTAAAGCACTTCTTCGAAAAGAACTTAATTTCCATAAAGGCAGTGAAATTTCTAAGCGGGGTTGCGATTATTTAACTTCATCAACGTTTTATTGAGACTTTTTCTGAGTGATGGAAAAAATAAATGATTTATTATTATACAGAACTTTTTTTTTATTTTCAGGGAGATTCCGGTGGTCCTTTGGTCCATCTTAGTGCCAATAACCCGCCAGTTGCCATAGGAATTGCAGCATATGTCAATGAACTTGTTGGCTGCGCAAAATTCACTGGACTTGCTGTCTTTACTCGCCTTAGCAATTATTACGAATTCATAACAGAAAATAACGCTGGCTCTAAGATATGCACAGTTTAAGCTGTTCATATGGATATTTTCAATTATGCCGAAAGAAACGCATTTAAATTTACAATCTAATAAATGCTATAAAAGAAAATAAGGTAATAATATGTAGTATATATATATATGTGTGTGTGTGTGTGTGTATAAATGTATGTATATTATTGCTCATCTTTATTAACCTTTGAAATAAGTAACGTATAAAAATTAATTCGTACTCGTCACGTATGTAGATTAATTTAGAAAAAGGTATAAACAATAAAAACACGAAGTGTTTAATTAATGCTATAGTAATTCTAGAGTTTATTTTTATCATATCATAACTAATTTCACTATGTAAGCTGTTCGTTGCTTGAAAACTATTTAATCAACACTCAGTTTCAATCACATAAATGCACTAAAATTGTTTCAGAAGTAGTCATCTTTGCCTATTTATTTGTGTTTTAAATTGTAGAATGTTTTTTACACGGTACGCGTTTTTTATTTTTTACTTTTACCTCACAAGCATAAATCAAGAAATGCATTGTCTAGACAGGGTAGCCATGAGAATGGACCATCCCATTAAATTTATTTTCAACGAATTCATTCGGACAGTTTTGCATAATTTTATTCGAATGACGGAGTGTTTCATCTTGTGACCTGCGAAAATAGCCCACAGCAAAATATCTCTGACAAAACAAACCACAACAAAATAATCCATGAGAAAATAACCCAAATATAACTATAAAATCTTTCATTTCTAGTTTCAATTTTAAAACCTTCCTATGTAGATATCGACTTTTAACATCATTGGACAAAATTCACATCCAACATTAATATAAAAAAAAATAAATACAATTATTTTCTGTACTTTACATACTTTTCGTAACTAAATGATGCCAAGACCAATGAAAACAACAAATTCAGTGTTTATTGACACTCATATTTGAGGTATATTGGGATACTTAGATATTTTTTGCGCAAAACATATAAATCTTCTGTAAATTCTAAAACTATTATAATTTAGAATATAGGCCAAAAAAATTTAAAACTCTTCGTACAATCCAGTCTGATTTAGGCTGCGGCTTTTGATTTAGGCTATTTAGTCATGGACCCTTTTATCGGGGCTATTTTGTTGTGGGCAATTTTGTTGGGATACCATTCCTTATTTTTCTAAATGATATTTTATCAATTCAAGTAAAATTATTTTGTGGCAGTTTATGTGATGTTAAAGATATATCTAGTGAGAAAAAAAAAAAAAAAAAAAAAAACTTTTTGAATTTACAGCAGTCTTTTTTTAACTTTGTATTCCCATATTTCGTCTCTCCATTTTTTACAATTATTTTATAAACATGTCACATATTTTTTTATACTATTTCATTTAAAGTGGTAACAAGCCGTTTGTTACAACTTGTTTCAACCGCTATTTACCACGGCAAGATCACGCGTTTGCACGCCCTTGGATAAATTTCTCGACTTTGATATTCAGAGCACTGAGCAGAAATGACCGGTGCTAACGCAATGTGATTCTGCTCAGTGCTCTGAATGTGAAAATCAAGAAATTCGTTTATGCATGGGTAAAACATCTAATACGGTTGCGTCAATTTCTAAGATGCATAACGGAGAAGAAAAAACCTAGCAAATTTGGCCGAAGATAAGAGTTTAAAAGGTTTACTTACAGATGGTAGTGATTATATCCTTATTAAAATGACATACTTCACAATGATTCCAATAATTTATAATAGCAGATGCAATCTTGATTCATATCTCATTATGGACGTGATATGCGTACCACACTTTTGTACAGGTTACATTTCCAAACAATGGACGATAAAGACATAGGTAAGACATAGACAGCAAAAGCAAGCGACATAGGTAAGCAGTACCGAGCGAAGTATTAAAAAAAGCGAACTCATCAACAAAGTGAGAGATACGTAGTAAAAAGTTTCTTTAATCTGATTGGATGAGAGCTTACAGTATTGCAGCAGGGTTATATAAGTAAGCATGAAACATATTAATTTTGAAAAACGTAAAAGGAAGGGGAGATACAAAAATTAAAATCAAGAATTACAGTTCTATTGCTGATTTCGGTTATAATTTTGAGTTACATATTTTATATCTCTCTCACACACACATACACACACACGCACAAGCACAGAATATATATATATATATATACACTTTTATTTACATTTTGTTTAACTGTTAAGGAAGCTCAGTATATAGATATTTGATCTAGCTTCAAAAGCAGATGCTTCTAAGCATTTGCTAAAAGCATCTGCTCCCAGATTTAATGTAAGTACTAACAGAGCAAACTTATGGTTTATGCATGCAGAACAGTTTCACAAGGAGTAATCATTCATTTTTCTGCGGCCCAAAGCCATCATAAATCTGATCACTTTTGACATTTATGCTTCATGAAAAGAAAAATGTCATCCTAAGCTTATCTTACAAATCTTTTTCCTTACCAAATGATGAAACTAATCATTCATTTTTGATTTCTACAATTTATTTTTCTGTGTGCGTCTTCTACCGCGATGAAGCTATACAAATCGTGTGCAAAGGTTTTTCAGTTCGGGGATGCAAAGGATTCGTATGTCTTGTTACTCAGAATATATTTTGATAATTAACATAATTGTTTACCTGTTCGTTAGCAATCAGTGTTAAATTTTCATCTTAATATCACAAAAGAATTCCTGCTAGTAGAAAATGTTATATTCAGAACAAGTGTGGCATAAGTACGATTTATATCCCAGATTTTAGGAGTAAATTAGAATCCCTCTTGTGAAGACGAAAAGTATACTGCCCATTAATAAATCTGAAAAGCATTAACGTTTGATATCAAGGTAAAAAGTAAAATGTGACACGCATACAAAATATCAAATTTCCATTTCAGAAACAGCAAGATCTCCAAGCAAAATTTCCGATTGTGCTTAAAGTACATTTTCTTAGTGCTGCCACCTGTTACCAACTATTAAAAGTATTTTCTTTTACGAATGTTAGAGTAAGATTCGTAAAATTCAACTTTGATAAGCCATGTATCTCCACACTTTAAATGAGCAAATGTTCATTTAATGGAAAATCATGTTTATAAATTTAATTAAAAAATTTTGTTTTATTAATTGGTTAGAGGAATAAAAAAATAAAAACTGATTAAAGGGATTTAGTTAATATTTTAAAATTATAACATTTTTAAGGTTACGCAAAGTCTTTGATTTCATACTTTTAAGCTAAAAACTTTGCAAACGATGAAACTAGAAAATGCACTTTGATATTCTGTTTTTCCTGATTATTCTATGATTATATTTCCTGGGTGTATTATAATGGAAAACCTTATAAGCTGTTTCGTATTTTATCTCTCAAGCTTTTATTTAAAATGCAATACATTTTCAATAATTCTCAAAAATTGATCAAAACACTAATTCATATCTGAAAATATTTTCTATTTTTTGGAATGAAATGTTCGATTCTCTTCATCTGTACAGATACGTAGGCACTTTTAGTATGTAATAAAAATGGGATTAATTGCTTAGACATAACTTATATATGTAACTGCATATTTCCTGATTTTTTTTTCCTGTCTTGCTTATTTTCAACAAGGTTAAAGCCTGATTAAACAATAAGGAATGTGCATTTAAAGCAACCATTTTTTTTTTTTTTTTTTTTTTTTTCTATATGCCTAATGTTTGTTTCTTTTGCCGTACACCGATTTAACTTAAAATTACAGATGCTATATCATAAGTAGAGTGATTTAAAGTAGCTTAATAACTTGCAATCGCAGGTGTAGTATCATAGGTTAAGTGTTACTATTGTTTAAAACGAACCTCCCAGCACTGCGGAAAAATTTATATTTTCTACTTTTACTTTTCCGATGATAGAAGTCAGACGATTCCGCCATTAAGACGATGATGCGACTGAAAGATGTTTACATGTAAAAGACGGTCGATTCTCTTCATCTGTAAATAACATCTATGTAAATTCATCCTTCTACACATGTAATCATATTGTAGTTTGTAGTGTCATAAGGTCACATAAAGGAAGAAGAGACTGAAGATTAATATGGACAAGGATGTCTCGTGAGCATAAGCTGAAAATCATTATTTTTTAACTTACAAATACGTTTTCAATAGTTGTTAAAATAGTTTTCATTAAACTAATTAAATCGTTGGCAATGTTAAAAACGCCAGCTCGAGAGCCACGAATTGCTCTCGCACTTAAAATGTATAGAATTTGATTTTAAGAAAAGATTTAGGTTTTTCTCTTCTGAATTGTATGTAGCCATTTTTTGGGGGGCGTTCAATAAAATTTTCATGTGGTGTTCTATCGTTAGCGTTTTCATTGGAGTTTAACACCACAACGTTGATGCATTAACGCTACACCACAGCAGTAAATATTAAAAGTTGGTGGCAGTTTTTAGGGATTGTTCCTGAGAGTAAATTTAGGAACGGACTTTTTCGCCTGTGAACTTGAGTTTTATGTTAACAGTCAAGACTTTCTTCTCTTCAAGAACGATCTAATTTTGCGTGCAAGGACATTTCGCGTGGTGAAGCCTCTTCAGTGACAAGTGACAGTGTGTCAGAAGGGAACGCCGGAGGAAGCGTGATCTAGTGCCGCAAAATAGTGAAATTTCCCGGAAGAATATCCAAGTAATGCCAGGAGAGTCAATCGAATTGGTGAATTGGTCTTCAAAATTGGTGAGTACCATTTTTGTGATTTTGGAGAAGTTATGCCAGTTATTCGAGACTAGGTTTATTTTGCATATAGTTCTGTTTTTGGGGATCAAAAGTTTTCTGGTGGTTATTGAAAGTTAAGCTTGTGGTTACTGTTGCTAATTGAAATTAAATTGTTTGTTCTATTGTTTTAGTAACTGTTTAAATTGTATGAAGTATTGTAACGGTATGCTTTAGAAAAATTTAATTTTAAATCAGTCCAGAGTTAGAGGATAATATTTATATAGTTGATATAGAGCAGGAAAAGGTTGCCTCTTAATTAGCATTTTTTTATATACGTTTTGTATGTAGGCATAGGTATTATCATTTAAGTGTTGTAAGGCAATT